GCCAGGGAGAGGGGTCTCCGTGGGAGTAGCAGGAGAGTGGGCGCCTGAAGCCAGCAGGCCTTGGTGATGTGGCCGACGGTGTGACGCAGCACAGGGTCACCAGGGACCAGGAGACCCTGGGAATAAGAGAAGTTGGGTGCGTTGTTCAGGTGGCCCTGGATCCGGTGGAGAAGACCACCAGACCCAAGGATGGGCAGATGATGACAGGACAAAGAAGAGGTAGCACTTTCCTGCTGGGAGGGGAGGATATGAAGAGACCATTCATGAGGGTGAAGGAGAGCTCTGCTGCAGATGCTGCAGGACAGGCAGGGACCTGGAGAACCAGCAGCTGCTGATGAGGGAAAGTGGTTGGTGGACCCTTCCAATGTCAGAGGGATTTGATGAATAAGGTAAAGCATTGCAGAGGGCACAGCGATGTCTTGGGGGAGTAAACAAGAGGGGTGTGTTGAGCTGGACCCAGGGGTGTGCAGGGCCTTGTAGGTGCACAGGGTTGCATTTCATGTGTGTTTGCTAATATTTTGAGTGGACCATGAGAACTAGGTCAACCTTACATAAGGCTGCAATGAGAAACTCTGAGATTACAGAGAACAGATGTCAGCTTTAGCATCTGTGGAGCTTGGGTAAGCTGCAAAGATTAAGAACAGATAGCTAGCACATGGTGCCTCCTCCTTAATGGGGTACACCAGGCACCAAAGGAGGAGAGGAAGAAGAGAACCGAGAAGCTCAATAGACTTAAAAGCAGTTAGTGTATGTAGAGAGCCTCAAAGGGTAATTAGAAATACAGAATCAAGATGAAAATCAGTGGAATAACAAAGAACCTTCTCTTCTTTGCAAAGAGACCTAGCTCTGAGGTTCTTCATTTGCAACAAACTGATCCATCTGCAAATCACTCTAGGTTTCTGTCGCCCACCCCCACGGCCATCAGTCAGGACTGAGCTCATTGCCCAGGTTGGCTGGAGGAGTATTTCTACAGGAACCTTTCATCAACTTCTTCCCTGGGCATTGTCCTCTGCTGAAGATACTGCCCCTGATTGCAAACACACCTACAATGAGAAATCCCGGGGGTGCTCCCAAGCTGTATCTGAAGAGAGCTCTTATTTGAGGGCCAGTGAATTCATGGACAAAACTCTAAGCAAAGCTTCATTTTCTTCCTACTTTTTGGAAGAAGGCTTTATGGGTTTAGACCTGGGCTTCCTTTCTCCAAACTCTGCAAAGCTTTTTGCCATTGAAGGCTGAGATCTTAATTTGCAGGGTCTGGATCCTCTGGGGATTAAGCCATAATGGTTTTACGGGACAGAATATGGGAACTGGAGTTCAAGGCAAAGAGAGACCTGGGCCACCCCAGGGAAGGGAACATCTGGATTGCTGGAAATGGGGTGTCCCTAGGGGAGCAGCATCCTGAGCTCCACCCTTACATGGTAGCATCTTAGAAGGGATGGCTGCATAGACAGGTGAGGAATGATTGTGATACTGGGAGAATCTGCTACATCTTCACTACCAGAAACACTACCGGGGGGACCTGAATTACTCCCCTGAGCAAACTCTGTCAAGATGGTGTCTTTCTGACAACTTTAAAGGAAATACGTTAACATGGCATTTGTCAAAAATATAAGTCACACAAAGACACATCTTGGGCCATGGATCTCAAAACTATTCTATGCATTAGAATCACAATTATTTGCAAAATACTGCAGAATGCTGAGCTCCACCTTCAGAATGTCTCAGTCAGTAGGTCCAGGGTAGAGGTGAAATGTGCATTTCTGCCAACTCTCTCCAGTTCTGATACTGCTGGTCCCCAGACCATTCATTGTCTTAGTGGAAGAAAGGCAGCAACACTCCTGGTGAACGCAGTCCCAAGGTATCTTTTCATCCATTACATGTTCACTTGCTCAGAGGCCAAGGGGTGGGGCTCCCACTTTCTCCGTCAGTCTGTGCCCCTGACGTCAGCATTTGGTTCTGACTGGTACTCTGTGGCCCCAGGACATAAATGGAGCCGCCATCCCTGACATAGACTGACGGGGAAGCGGGGATGATATGTAAGGTTGCGGGTTGGGCAGTTTGTGCCATGCACAAAGATGTCTAGCAGAGGGCAGGGTTGGGACTGGGACTCAACCCATACCCCTTCCCCTAAAGCTGGGCACCCAGAGTGGGTTGCACCTGCCCAAGAAAGTCATTCGCACCAAGGGCCCTCTGCCCCTCAAAGCCTGCACTGTCTGGTGTGGAGAGGGATAGCTCCATCCGGAGAGGGGACCTCTTTTAATTTGATCATAAGCCAAGTGTAAGCTGGCATGGTTCTAAGAGCAAAGTGGGAACCTGGCTGAAGGGGCTCTTCTCACAACCACCCACAGGCTAGGGCAGGTGTAAGTCTGCGAAGGACAGGCCTGCTTCAAAACCAGTCACACTGGATTGACTGGCTGAGCCAGTTTTTATTTGCCTTAGAAAAGGAAGTAGTTATGCTTCTTGCATTTGGGCAGTGAGAATCCCGTTACTATTTGCTACCAGGTTCCGCATCATCTCACCTGGGGCCCAGCTCACCTGGATCCTGGCCTTGTGCCCCAGGCCTAGTGAATCCAAGAATCTGGAGGTGTGGCCCAGCCCCGCTCCCAACCCAGGTGACTCAGTTGAGGCTAACATTTGAAAGACATTAGTATGGAGCTCTTCCCCATCTCACAGGCCTAGAAATCTCCTGAGAGTGTTGTTAAAGTCAGATGCTAAGTTCCATTTCCGTGGTGGGGTTTAAAAGTCTGTTGTCTTAGTGAGTTTTGGGTAAGGTGATGCTGCAGACCCGTAGCTCCGCTTTGAGTGTAAGGTTCTACATTAGTGCAATGCTTCTGGGCCTTGACTTCTGTCTTCCTCCAGGCTGCTCTAACAAAATACCATAGATTGGGTAGCTTATAAACAACAGAAATCCATTGCTCATAGTTCCAGAGGCTGGGACACACAAGAGCTAAGAATTTGAGACTCCATGTTTGGTGAAGGCTTATTTCCCAGTTCAAAGATAGTGCCTGATGGTTGTGCCCTCATGTGGGGCAAGAAAGAGGCGGTTCCCTGGGCCCTCTTTTAGGAGGGCACTAATCTGTACCCTCCCAAAGGCCTTCATTGGTGGTTAGGTTTCTCAGGGTCTGACTTTCAGTGTATGAACTCAGACCATGGCAACCTCACCGATAACCATGACCTTACATATGGATGCTTGGGTCCCACCCACAGGGGTTCTGATCCCATTGTGTCATGGACTGGGCTGGAAATTAATCCTGGCTTTAAAATTTATTTACAGCTCCCCTGCTGATCCTAATGTGCAGCCAGATGTTAGGAGCTCCTAGTCTAGAAGCAAATGGGGCAGGCTCTTAGGAGGACATAAGTTAAGGGGAAGAGAAAGGAGGAATTTGGGAACAATCTGCTCCTCTGGCTAATGAAAGCTTAGGGCTCCCAGCAAATGACAAAGAGGCCAGGGACACCATTTCAAGTGAGCTGTTTCTTGTTTAAAGGGTCTCTGGGGGCCCTTGCTTCACATTCTCAGAACAAATTATGATGCTGTTCAGCAAATGGCTGGATTCTTTTGTTTGCAGAATAGAAGGGCTCCCTTCAGCTCCAGGTCTTTGTTCTCCAATTCGATGCTGGAAAGGCCTTCTTGCCTTCAATATTTTCATCTTCTTAATCTTTTCACCCTCCTCTGTTTGGTCTTCCAATTCCATTTTATCATTTAACCCAATAACCTACATTTTGGTTGTCATGGAAAAACAACATCCTGCCTTGTTAGCTTGGATGTTGTTTCAGATCTCAGTGTCCAGACCCATGGTCAGCATATGCAGACCGTCCCCTGGGAGGGCTTTCCTGAAGAGAGGGCACGTGGCAGGGGGTAGGGGACCCTGTTTTCAGGCATCATTAAAATAGGGGTAGATGTGTTGACAGTAGTCTTAAATGACTTTGGTAAAAAATGGCGCATCTTTATTTACATATTCCAGTGCCCATAAACCCAAGGCCAGGATTATGCTAACCTAGTGCACAAACTAAATCTTTTTTGAATGATAAATAGTAAAATGCACAATTCTTCAGCAAGATTTAAAAAAAAACACATACCTTTCTTGTGGATAGCAGGGCAGAAATTTACTTTGGAAATGCACTTCAAAGACTAATGCTGTTGGAAATTACAAAGGAAGTCAAAAGGGTGTCAGAACAGGTAAGCTAAACCGAATTGAAAGGACAAGAAAATGTGGGTTTTGCTCAATTCTCCTAGTGCATTTGATATTTCAAAAGAACGAACAATGTAAGTGGGAGAAGAAATCTTCATCTTTGAGGCTTAAATTTAATATGGATCGATGTTATGGTCAAACATTTTTAAAGATGCCTGTATAGAATTGTTAACCATAAATCTTTTTTTTTTCTTTTTTGCTGATTCACCTCTTTTTGATCAGTGGTTCTTTGACAAAATTGTTTATCAATGTCAGAAAAATAAATGTGCTTATTTCCTTGAAACGTTCATGTAAAAACCCCTCAGCGAAAAAGCAATTCTGACCCAAGATTGCCAATGGCGGTTTTGGACATAGGATCCTATTAAATTAGAGTCTATTAATCTGGGCTGTCTGGTTGGCTAGGGAGCAGGGTATTTCGTCTGGCTCGGAAATGAGAAGGTTTTTAATTTAGTATCTGCAAACTGAAAGAAAGTCTCATGTGGTTAGCCGTGATTCTAGCTGGGAAGGCAAACAATCTAAAACAAAAGAATAGGGTGTCCTTTCAATGAAATTATTTTAATTCATTGAATTTTCAGAAAATTCCAGTGCTCGCCGTCGATTCCAGGAGCATGCAGTAGGTGGCACCTACAAGCTCTTTTGGAGGCGAGCAGGCGCCATTGAAGCAGGAGCAGCTGCCGCTGCAGCATTGGCACGACTCAAGAGATTGAGGAGGGAGAAGGAGGCAGGGAGGCCGGGAGGAGGACGGTGCCAGGGTGGTGACGCGCGAGCCGGCGGGCTCGGGCCAGCGCAGGTGCGGGGCTGCTGGAGCGCGCAGGGCGCAGGGCGCAGGGCGCAGGGCGCAGGGAGAGCAGCTGACAGCATCGTCACGGCTGCGGGCGGGAGCGCACGGCTCCAGCCTCGGAGGGAGCCGCATCCGCTCACCAGGCGCTGCCCGTCCTGCGCGAGCTGAGCCCGAGGAAGCTCTGAGCGGAGTTGTGTTCTTCTCCAGGTAACCCATGTCTCCCGTGGCTCCCCTGCACCCTCGCGGGGCTACCGCGGCTTGGGCGTTAGCCACTGGAGCGGGATCACCACTCTCCGGGTGGGCCAATCCGTCTTTAAATGCTGAAGTTGGGTAGTGGGGAAAGCAAGCTGCGTTTCTGCAAAAGGAGAAGGAAATTCTGTATCTTGCACATTGTTGGGGATTCCTTGCAAAACAGGAGTTACCGTGGGGTTTTTTTTTCTTTCTTTCTTTTTTTTTTTTTGAAAATTCTGTGGTTGCAGGTGTTTCTGTTGTTGGAAGTTGATTTTAATGCATTTACAGAAAGTCATCCAAAGATGCGATCCCAAGTGAGAAAAATGCAAAAGCACGTTAAAGGCGGGGCGTTGGATTCAGCATGTTTTCATTCTGGACCACTTCGTGTCCCCGCCTGGGACCTGTCTAAATATTTTATTATGTGTCTTTAAAAAGAAGATGCTCCAAGGTTTCTACTGGTGTTTTTTCCTCGTTGTAAGAGCTGAGGATAGGCAAGGCGCTGCAGCATCTAGCCCTTAGTTGTAAGACTGTGATTTCCCCTCAGATGACGGTGACTGCCCACAGCTCCAGGCTCCCCTGCAAGTATTGCTGGCTCTTCCCAGCGTGGGCATCTCCACACATCATCCGCTTGGGAATACAGTGTCCCTTGGCTCCTTTAAAAACTCCAATTCGCATACTGTGGAGGTTTGAGAGACTTTTTGAGCTAGAAGCTTGGGAATCATCTGCTCCATCCTTGAACGGTGGAATTCAGGGCTTAAGGGACAGTGACACAGCTGGTCTTCCTTAGGAATTCGTTTTGCATACTGACCCCTATTATCTTTTAAACAGCCCCCTGTGCTTGTGAGAAGCTAGGCTAGCATATCAGAACTTTCCTGGTTTGACATTAAAAACAAAACACCCCCCACCCTCCAAAAGAGCCCAACTTTTAAAAATATCACTTTAAAGGATATTTTCTAGATAGCAATAAAAGGTTGGAGCGTTTTACATTCCAAATCAGTCCAAATGTACTTGGTTTCCAGCGGCATTTGGATTTGAAGAGGTGGAGTGGGAGGGAGAGAAAAGAGAAAGATAAAATTAGAATAAATGTAATGAATTTGTAGGGGAATCATACTATTTCCCCCCCCCTGGTTGTTGCCTGAAATTGCAAATTGTCCACAATGCTGTCTATCCTATCTCTGGATATGCAGGCGGCCCTCTGAGCTAAAGGAAGGCTTTCAGTTCATCTTAGAGAAATAGAAGACACAACGACAAGGAAATCTTTCCATCCTATTTAAAAGATGACATTTCATTTGGTAATGAGGGTGATGTTCCCTGGTGAACACAGGAAAGGAGGTGGGGAGGAGAAGGGAGTTTGCTTTCTCTGTACCAAAGCCAGCACAGAATTGCTGCTCAGCCCTGCTATCCTGCAGATGGGAGTTATATGTTCATGGTTCATACAGAAGCCTTCAGACTCTTTCCTCATTACTTCTTTAATAGAGTTGTTCCTAAGAAGAGATGCAACCACAGTGAACACTAAGCTCAAAGAGTACTCTTTAGCAACTGGCTAGAGACCCAGCATCTCAGCAAAGCCATTTCACCCTGAGAGACGGCTGTTTTCCCCATCCACACATCGCTTATTGCTTCGTGAGAAACATATTATTTCAGCAGTAAATGGCACCCATCTCAATGAGCAATTAAAACCTTTGAAAAATCATACAAGTTATTAAGAAGAAATTATACTGGTTGTGATAAAACTATCATATCATTCTTCTAATTTGGGGGCCATGATTGATCTATTAGAAATCAATCAATTGATTTAGGCAAAAATCATCATTTCCATGAATGCAGTACATTTGTGCACCAAAGAATTTCTTTGTGACCAAGAGGAGCATTTGGTTGTCTCGGGTGAGAAGGTTGCCAGCCAGAGATTTTAAGAGAAAATTTTGCTCACCTTGGCCTGTAACTTAGAATTCATATAATCATTGTTGTCTATTTTCCCTCACAAGGTGGACTGGATCTTTCTATTGATCATCTATCTTTCTGGTATGAGTATTAACCATGGACAGATGTCTCTTTCAGGGATGAACTGATTTATATGATATTACTTGGTTTGGGTTATGATTTTTTTTTTTTTTGCAGGAAACAGCTGCTCTAAGAGAGAAGATGATGGTTTTCATGTTGTCCAAATTATTGATGTTCCTTTAAAAACTTAAGTTTATTAACAAGTGCATATATATTTGAGCATAATCTTAAAATTATTTAACTGCTTTCAAATAATGCTTTAGTTTTTATTATGTGGCTTGCAAGTCTCCTCATTGATCAGGTAAGAAGAGGTCTTTAAAACAATCGTCAGAACAAATACACTCTCATTCTCTTGTTTGCTCTTGCCACTAGCAAATTCTGGAAATAGGTTTCTTGTAGCCCTTTTCTCAGTGCAGTGAAGTGTGTTCCTATAAACCAGTGCTGTCCAATAGAAAATGTGTGAGCCACGTGAATAACTGAACGAGTCTTGTTAGTTACATTAGAAAAGTAAAAAGAATCAGGTGAAATTAATTTAAATAATATATCTCCTTTAACCCAGTACATCAAAAATAATCATTTAAACATGTAGTCAAAGGCTGGGGCTGGGGCTCAGTGGTAGAGCGCTTGCCTAGCACGCGTGAGGCACTGGGTTTGATCCTCAACTCCACATAAAAATGAAAAAAAGATATTGTGTCCACCTACCCCTTTGCCCTTAAAAAAAATGTAGTCAATACAAAATACCTGTGAGATATTATCTTTTTTTTCTTCCTCCATGCTCGGTCTCATTACTTAGGAAGTGTCAGTTTGGATTAGCCAGACTTGCTTCAAGTCCTCAATAGCCTGTGTGGTGGTGGCTGCTCGGTTGACCAGCTACAGACTGCTAACAGTTGACAAAGCAATTGAAAAGCTAAAATGTTAGGGCCATTGTCAATTAAACACCATCAAATATACAGATGGTGTCCAATTAATGAGAGTCTGTGTCTTTTCCTTTGCACAAACTTGAGCCTCTTATTTTACTTCTTTACCGGTAAAACAAAAGGGCAAGGTCAAATACTTAGATTCTATGAAAAATATCCAATGGACAGATTTGTGGTCCAATCTGCCTAAAGACTAGAGGGCTGTGTTACAGACACAGAGGAGACAGGTGCGCCTGATCATTGCCAATTTTCACCACGTGTCCCCCCTTAGCTCTGGCCATCTCTGGTGACAGAGTTCAGCAACCAAGCCCCAGTCCCATTAGGGATCACTCAATTTTCAATTTAAATTCTTTTACTGGGGAAGTAGCAGCAAACCTGTCGTAAAGCTAATAAAACACTGGTGTGCTATCATGGACCCTGTGATTAGATCCATCCTTACTGGAATGAGTATTTTCAATGCTTGCATCTATTTATTTTGACACCATGGAATAAAGACTAGTGAAATGTAATGGTTTATGATCGAGCCATGAATACTGTATTCTTGAAACACAGAAACTAATAACCTTCGTGGAAAGATGTCAATTTCTTCTTGCTTCTCTGGATAGCCTCCATGATCAATGAGTGCTGGAGGGTGGACGCTGTTTCCATTACAGGGCTCTCCGTCTAAGAAATCATGATAGGAAATTAACGGAGAGCAGCATTTTGTGCAAAAGAATCCTGGTGAGAATTTTTCTAAAGTTAATTAATGTTGGGAAAGTGATCTTATTTTTTTGAGGAAATAAGAGAATGCAAGATCTTTCTCATAGGTCTTTCCACAGTAAACACACACGTAGATACACATGCACACTACATACCCCATGCACACTACATACCCCATGCACACTACATACCCCATGCACACTACATACCACATGCACACTACCTATCACATGCACACTACCTATCACACACACACTACACACTACACATCATACACACCACATACACATTACACACCACATACAGCCACACGTACTACAGACCCACATGCACACATATAAAACCTAAGTTCTCTAGAAGGATCCAGGCCCTCATCGGTGTTTGGATGAAGGAGCTCTTGGAAGGGAAGCTTTTCTTCCTCCGTCACTCTTAGATTTCAGTTGTTTTATTGGAGCACCTCTGTGACTTTGGGGATTTATCTGCAGATACAAACTAAATTATGTCCTGAGCAAAGAGGGGAGAATGATCCCATTCCGAGTCTCTGCATCCAGGACAAATCCAGGTGGAATTCAATCAACTCTCTATTGCATTGAAAACCTACCCTCATTTCGAGTCCAGCTCAATTGCTGTTCTGAATAAACTTGACCTCATCTCGCTAGGCTCACCCCATCCGCCCTGCACCTCAGTATGCACACATTCCAGATCCAGGGGTTGTCTCGTTCCTTCCTGCCTACAAAATAGTTCCTGAGACTTAGAGGTGTCAATGGAAGAATCCCCTGGGACTTCTAGAACGCTCTTTACCTGTACTATGGGGGCCTCTGAGGACTTCACTGGGTTCTTCATGAAGAACGAATGGTGGTTACACCCGACCTAGAGGCGGGGGATGGGCAAAGGTTGATCAATAGGTTTGAGGTTACAGTTAGACAGGAGCGAGAAGGCTTGGCTATGGTGTACCGGTGCACAGTTTTCTTGACTAACGATAAGAGTCATGAACGGCACGTTTCAAAAAGTAGCAGAAAGTATTTTGAAAGTTTTTACCCTAGAGAAATGATGAATATTGAGGAGAGAGGGATGTATAACCTGATCTAAGCATTAGATGATTTAGCAGAGCATCACATTACCCCGTTAATATGAATGATTTTAATCTTTGTATCAGTTAAAAAATTTATTAAAATCAGAGAAAGAATGGGAGGAGAAGACAAAGTGTAAAATATTACCAGCATTTAGTAAGGTCTTTATGAATGTTTGCAAGTGAAGAGAAAGTTGGAACTGTTGGTTGATAGAAATGACTCAGTACCTAGATTTGAAAAGAACCCGAATTTCCCAGAATATCATGACACTCAAGTGTTGCTTTTTGTT